TGTGATTTAAACAACAAAACATAAGTTTGAACAACAAACAATAAAACGTCGCATAAATGCGACACGCATTTTGATTGTGGAGCATGCAAACAAAGAATTATTGATTAAATTGCATCCATAACTTTTCATAGATGGTTTGCTCTCTACGGATATCCATAACATTTAATTATAACTGTTTCCAATGTGCAGATTGCAGCGCCGATATACACATCTAGCTCGTTTCGCTCTTGCTACGAACGCGCATAAAACATAAAACTAGTAGTATAATATATAAAGCAGAACACATCATATACGCAGAAAAAAAAAACCAGATTGAAACTGCAAATTACATGCTATGTGCATGTGAGTCTGGCGGCTGCGAGCAACGCTATCAGCGCCAGCGCATCGAGCAATTGGAAATATCTAACCCGAAGGCTGTAATAATATAATTCCAATATCTATCTTTTCTATAAGCGCTTGTAAGTGCGCTCGATAAGGATTCAAGTAGTTCTCCACGTGGAATCACAGGTAAACTACTCATATCTAAACAGGAATCGTGTTGCATTTGTTAATGTTTTTATTAATTATAAAAATGTAATATAACAGTTTCAAGAGATATAAATAAATAATTACTTAAATATATTGCATTCAGGTTATACGATGTAAAAATAGCAAAATTATAAATTATTAAAATTTGTGGCTGGTTATTTCGTCGAAGAATGCATTTTATGATGCTATGTGCATGATATATGTTATAATTTCGTTTGCCTGCGCGCCTGGATTACAATTTACATAATTGAGCGATGCGTTCGATTGGTGGAGCGGAACGTAAAGATGCGAATTTAATGCAATAAATTATAATGCATGAAATGCATAAAATCAGAACGTACACTTATTATTTCCAAGTGGCGCCATCTGCCAAGCAGTTAAAGTACCCTATATAAACTACTAAAATGACTACTATACGTATATTATTAAATTCTATTTCTATTTTTGTATAGGAATATAGCAGTACGTACATAAATGTCGAAGTCGAAGGAGAAGTTGGCGAAAATGTTCCAGCGGTGTGACTTCAAAGCCACCGCTCGCTTTACATACATTACGAGCGCATTTCGTAAATTGGCGTAATAGACGCTGTGCTGGTGGCTGGATAACTTCGATGAAGTGGCAATGCACACGCGATGAAATTCTTATTATTTTAGATAGTTTCGAAGTAACTTGAAATATAAAATAACATAGTTGGCAACACACAACACATTTTTGAACGGTTGTCATGCACTGAAAATAGTATACAAAATATTCAAATGAATAGCAATTAATATCTCCGCAACAATTTGTAGCGACGAGTTGAACTGTGAATCATTTCCTGTTCAGTGAATCCGATGAATCGGAAATTGATATTGGAGCTCGATCATTGACGTCGGAATTCAGTCAGTGAGTCTAATTGAATTCATTTGAAGCACTTCTCTACCTAGAAATTTGTATCAAGCCATTATATTGTAATAATAACTTATCTATTAAGTAATAAGGACAAATATTTATTTTGTGAGATCAGTGACTTAACTAAAGTTAAGTTTATCTGAGACAAAAATAAATGTTGATAATGTTATACCCACAATAGTCTTATCTTAGATTATACATTGTATAACAGTAATAAAATGTAATCTAAAAATGTGCTATAAATAAACTTGAATATATTATGCACGCAAAAGATTCAGATATTTGTTTATGGTGTCAATAAATAACACATGCGGATTTCGGCGGTTTGAGAAATTAATGAAACGCGCTCGCAGATAACATACACTTCGAAGAAGTCGAAGAAGCCGCCAAGTCGGTCAAGTCACGCAGGCATAAAATACCCTCCTATCGGGTATCGCTTAATCTACGATCGCGATTTACTCTTATAAACTGCCTCCCAAAAGCAATAATTGTGAGTACTCATTGGATAGCATTCAAAAAATGTATGGGATCAAAACTATCCCACCACAGATGGCGTTACTAGTTAATTTGAATATTATACATTTTAATCTTGAAACAGTTGCGTGTTCGGCCATAAATTAATGATAATGATTCTATTAACACCCGAAGCGCCTAATAACATGAAAGCTCAGCTTTGGTTGGTCGACATCCGTGCGCTAATTCGCCGGCGCGTACATGACGGCCATTTAATTGCGTCGCACTACGATTACGATAATAAGTTAGTGTCGATTTAACGTCGCCGCACTCGGCGTAAAATATTTTTAATAGTTTAATACGCGCTCGCCACGTGGGATTAACTCGCCGCACCGGAAAAGCGCCGCGCCGCCGAGATGCGATTGCAGAATATATCAGTGAATATCATCATCGCAGCATGTATAGGTATGAATTATAAACTTTGCTAACAATCCCGACGCTTAGATGATAGGCAATTTGCATAGGGTACAGTTATTTGAGCTTCCTGCAAGTACTAACGATCGTAATTAATTTAATTGTTCGCAATAGCAAAGATAATATTAAATTTCATTAAATCAAAATTGTTGGTAAAGATATTTTTGTAAATCTACTGCACTGCACATGAGTCTGAGTGATATCCGATACAAGTCAAATAGGAAATGCTCTAGTTACTCGCTGGCTAATGGCGAAATCTCCACTTTCCGCAGATAACGAACGCTAAAGAACAACGTAGAACAAACACGCGTGTAATGTGTCTCGTCTCACGTCAGTCGCTTCATTTTGCTTCAGCGTTGCTTTTCCATAATAGGAAACTCAAACACTCGACGGCGGCGGTGGCGGCGCTGCTCTCATTTCGCGCTGGATGGCTAGATGGCTGCAAGATACCGTAAAACCATTACCGGATGCGCGTTTGGTTCACGGGGGGTGGCTGCGATTTGATTAGAACCAGGTTTCCGCCGCGCACATCTCCGCCACCCCCGAAAGATGAAAGTATATGCACGTCGCGCTCTTATTACCTATTTGCACCCGGTGTGTTGATGCCTAGCGCTGAAAAGGATTAAACTAGACGCGTTCTGGTAGAATTCAATAGACGGTGTGCATTTTAATACTTCAATAACACTGGATTTTCTTATAATGTAAATATTACTTTCTGATTGAATAAAAACAAGTTGTAATAGATATACTACTACAACAACGCCATCTATGAGTGAATATAGTGTTTTAAAATAAGGTTATGTTAATAAAGCATGGATTTTGCTGCTGTTATGATGTTGGAATTGACAATTTTGTGCGCAAAGAATGCATGATATCAGCAAGTCAATATACAAGCGAATAAATTTTATTATTGCCTGCTTTTCGACATAAAACGTGCGAAATTTGCACCGTATTTGCATTAAAGCCGAGAGTGCCGAAAGAGTGCGGAAATGGAACGTGCATAAAAGGCATCGTAAATAATATTTCATAACACACACTCACACTCGTATAAAATCTACAGTCGCACACCAACAAATTCATGTTTAAAATCTAATTTCATTTTAATAAGACCAAAATAATTTTCATCGTTGCTTGTTATAGGAGTACGACCTATATTTTTAAATAACTTTAAATTGAACGTTGTGTTTTCTGAAGGTGTGTACTCTGGGGAGTAGTAAAATCGTTAATTGCCATTTTTAATACTCCAAGTATTGATAATAGCCGAAGATATCGCTCGGAGTAGCCCATAAATGGCTAATAAAATTTGCGACGAGTTTGCATACACGAGTAGCTTATATTTTTTTGCGTACGTCTTTTCGCTCAAATTTTATTGTTTATGTAAATTACGTTACGCTTGACGTTTGAATAATTAACGAAGACTTTCAGGTGTTCATAGACATTTAAATGTTTCACATAAATCAAATTTATTTACTGAGATTGCATCAGATTTTCATAATTATTTAGTTTTGATGTTTAAAATGTGATTTTGGATACTTGTGCGTAAAAATATTGCGTTTCCAACTCAAAAAACACATAAAAAACTATTTTATGCAGTATTAAATCCATATATTCTTGTGCACGTAAAATACAACACCATAAATATAATTGGAAGCGAAGTTAATATTGCAATAAATTTTTGTTTTCGTTTTTGTACATATTCTCTCATTACCCGTTTAATTATTGCTCGTTTTTGTTGATAAAACTATCCACGTTACCCTTTTGATTCTGCTGTATACGGTGATGCAATAAATAAATTGAAATTGGACGCAGCACACATTTTAATTATTCATCCATCTGCGAGCAAACATAAATGTAATAATTACACAAGCGTTAATTAATTTTTTAGAATAGTACGCCCGTCCAGTTTCCTACACGAGGAAATTTACCATTATTTCAATTTTCATTACATTCGTATTAAATTTTTTACATAATAATTATTATTTTGCACATTGTTCGTATTGTGTACGCTTATATTACTTATTTTCGTCATTTGATTGCAATTTATTTGTTTTTATTTAATTTGACAATTTCTGCAAGGTAAATTAAATGAAGATTTAGGCAGTGAAGGAAATCAGTTGTTGCCACACTCGTTAAATTTGAGAGATAAATATTTACGGCTATAATAATAAGGCATCTAGATCAACATGGAAAAGGAAATAAATCAGAAACGAGTTATTATTTCTGGTTCGTGTGGCGCGTTTGCTGTTTAGCTTGTTTTTGTTGTTCTCCTCTCGTTGCCCACAGGCATTTCGTCGAAATTGAGAAAATGCATAAGATATTAAAACGCAATAATCTAAATCCGAGTGTGAATGTGTGTTGTTCAACACAATCTTTAGGAATTTGCAATATTTTCAGCAGTGGCACAACAGATGGTTTTTACGGTGTTAGTGGTTGCCTAGCAGAGCAAACTGAAACCGAGAGCGGCGGCCGGCGATGCGAGAATCGCGAAGACCCGAAACCGAAAGACTTTTGCGCTGAACGCGCAGGGAGTACAAAGTTCTCGCGTGGCTCGTGGCCTGCGGAGTGCGAAGCTAGCCGAACCGCCCGCGCGCGCGATCCTTCGCAACCTCACAACTCGGCGTTCGCCGCTCGGCTTTCAGTTAGGTTCCGGCCGGCGTATCGAGTGGGTCACGCGTGCGTTCGGCTCTTGTAGCGTGCGCTTTAATACGACGCTCCGCGCGAGTACGACTACAGTTTTCACACTTCGACAAAACTTTGAACAATTGTTAGTGTTACATAGTGAACGACAGCTTTAACCTCCAATTGGATTTTAATGGATTTAATTATTTACTTACACTTGTGATTGTGACGCTCATTCTTCAGCGGGATTAATTAAACTAATGTCGACGATAGCGTGCGAACAGTGTCATTACGCTGATAAATATTGAGTGTCGGCGGCGGTGGCGACAATGGGATTTTGTGAATGAATGCTAATGTGTTCATTAAGCTGATTAGCGAGAAACGTGAAAACTGCAAGCGCACAACAAATCATAATACAAAAGCCGCCGATAACGGATAAATCGGGCCGTGAAGTAAGCGCAAAACAAATGTGAATGTGAACGCCGCATTTCGTACTCGTACTTATTAAGTGTGAAGGAAAGTTTCGTGTGCCGCGAGAGTGTGAGCTCGTTTGTTTCGCGATGAACGTTTAGACGAAAAAGTGTGCGAGTTTGGATTTTTCTTACTTCTCTAAGTGGAAGAAGAAACAAACAACATGGCTGCGATACGGAGAAGACGACTGGATATTATTTATGTGGTGTTTGTTGCCGCGACGAGTCTTCTGATATTCGCACCTCAGCACGTTAAAGGTTAGCGCGATAGCAAGATATTTTTCCTTATCAATGTTTTTGTTTTTTTTGTGTGTTTACATTTCGTGTGAATTCTTGGAAACAAGTCGTTTCCGCGATTATTTAGAACTGTTTCGTATAGTGTTTGTACAATGTTTGTAACATTACTAACATCGCAAACTTCGGTGTAGTGAATGTAGCAGCGAATGTGCTCGTAAGTGTATAATCCCACTATTTGGCAAACGGATGTTGTTGCTAAACCCATTTGCTAATGCACTTCCATGGTTCATGCAGTGAAGCATTGTGGTCATAATCTCGTCCCATTGTATCCGCTAGCTAGTTGCGTATGCAAATTGTTAAATTATTGGCTAGGATCATCGCTGATTTGCGTTGTCGCTAACATTCGAGTGGCATTTTAATTGTTATCGTTTTACTGCTTTAACGATTTGTTTCACATACTATAACAATTCTATGTTTACGTATATTGAAAGTGCTATGCGCATACGCAACTCAATAAAAGTGTTTAAATTTTATGTAACACAAGCATCCTACATTCTTTTTTCTTTTCAAATATAAATTTATCATGATTACTTCATGTAACAATGGTTTTTCATTTCTTTCTTCAATTCTTTTGATGCTTGGCGTCTATTCAAAAGCAGTGGAATGGTTGGAAACGTTTTTCTCCGCCTTGCGCGCCTTCATTCAGAAACAGCACTCGGCCCTCGAGTGTCAGAAATGCAGTAAAATATGAAAATTTATTTACGCCAGAGCAACCTAGCCGGGTACACAGACAGGGATCGAAGCGAAGGCACTTTTTTCAAACCACAATTCACCTCAGCTCCACACAGCTCTCCATTCTGTGGGACTGTAGGACGAACTACAAATAACCACCGTGGTGCAATACTTTATGCTATACGCACATTCATGTTCATTTTATCTATGCACATACCCTGCTCATGCCGTAAATAAAATTTATTTCAATATTTTATTTCTCAGCCAAGTCTGAGCCACAAAACTGAAATTTAAAACCGGTAATTAGCATTATATGAGCGTATTACACATGTTTCGGTCTCAAATGAACGTTGTTTGAGGCGGTTTTATTGAGTTGAGGATTTCATTCATACTGATTGTTGGTTGGTTTGTATTTTTCTATGTGCTTCCGAATTGCATACACAAAATGAAATCCGAGTACATTTATGTATTGGATGGAATTTCCTATCAGAACAAAATTTAAGGATATGAGTAACTCGTCAGAGTGGTAGATTTCTGCTCTTATCAAACTAATGCGAGCTAATTATAACAATTGAAGATAGGAATTGTGCATCATAGTATAGCTAGCGGACAGTGCCACCAGCAAAATTTTATCGGCTTCAGTGCTAAATCGTCAGTTGGTCTAGGTTGGTCTGTATTTGTGCAATACTCCAAAGTGACTTAAAAATGGAGTGTAATAGAGAAGATGCTGAAAAGTTGGTGGAAAGAGCCAAACGTTTAATCGTGAAACGAGAATTGGAAACTGCTAGGCGTTTGCTCCAAAGAGCTCAAAACATGTATCCTACTGAAAGGGCTAGAGGTATTGTAGCAATATTTAGTCAGACTAAACGAATAGACCGCATTAAATCATTTTAGCTATGTTAAAAAATATCACGCCACCCGAATATACTGCGGAACAGGTAATGGAGGTTCAACGTGTTTTGAATGCTCAGGATTCGTACGAAATACTTGCCGTGGAACAATCAGCAACAAAGGAAGACGTTCAGAAATCGTTCAAAAAATTATCATTGGTATTACACCCGGATAAAAACAAAGCACCGAATTCAGGGGAAGCATTTCGTTTGTTGGCAGAAGCAAAAGAAAAATTACAGAATATTTTGGAAATCAGGAAAACCAGGAAATCAAGAAATCAGTAATTGAAAATAAGTGAATTCTATAACTCTTACTGCACTTTGCACGATCATAGATACAGATACGTTCTTAGAGTTGATTGAAGAACACATGGAAAAGGCAGCGAAGACTCGATGTGATCACTTGCGATGCTTCTTAACAACTGCCTTATTTTCCACCAAATTTAGTACAATTTATCATAATAATAATGTTAATGGTCAAAACCTAAGTTCAAATGATTAGCAGAACCAAATAATAGATACAAAAGAAAAATATTAGTAATTTTGAAAAACTACCACTAAGATATGACGCTACACAATATACAATATGCACACAATATAAGCTTTATCAACTAATACTTAGCACTTTTGATATATGTTTATGGTATCAACAATAAGAATATATGCCTAGTTGTTACTGACCGCCGAAGTAAATCGATAAGTGTCTTTGTTGTTGTTTTATTTTACAGTATTAGTGAATTTTAAATTTTCTGGGAATTGTGATTAGATTAGATAATGCATAAAATGCTCCGCTATACTTGAAAATGATGCTGTGTCTGAGTATAATTTGTGTCTCAAAACTGAGCGGTCATACAGTGTTTTTCTGAAAATGGAGTGTAATAAAGAAGATGCCTTAAAACTAACTGAACGGGCAAGGAAGCATATTCAATGGGGAATGCAACAATTGGAAACTGCTAAAATTTTGCTCGAAAAATCAGATCGCATGTACCCATCGCAAGATGCCAAAGGTACTACCTTAATATAGTTATCATAAATAGGTAATAAATTATTACAAGATTTGTGATATTGCGCAGATCTCCTAAAGGAGCTTGAGCCACGTGTGTATACCGATGAAAACGTACTAGAAATTCAGCGCATTTTGCAAACGAAAAATCCGCACGACATACTCCAGGTGGAAAAGTATACGACGGTGGAAAAGATTCTGAAGGCCTTCAAGAAATTATCATTGCGTTTACACCCGGATAAAAATAAGGCACCAGGGGCCAAGGAAGCGTTTCAGGCTTTAAAAGCAGCGAAAGATCAGTTATTAAAGTGACAAATAACGATAATCTAAATTTATTTGTGTTTTATAATTCACAATTGCAAGTATTGATATGATAGAATTAAAATATTTTAATTTAAACACAAAGCTATATAGGTACCTGAGATAATGTTTTTATCTGAGTAATAATAGAAGCATTATTGGATATAAACGATGTGTGTAAATCAGCGATTTATAATTGAATAAACTATTCCGAAATGAGTTCGCTCATAAACGGTTTTGTTCGATCAATAAACGCTCGTTTACAATGCTCGAGGCATTCAAAAAGTTCTTTAACCCACAGCCACGAGTTGCTATAGTTTTTTGTGAATTAGTTATTTCATCCAACGATCAAATAGCGATTGTAACAACAAATAAATTACACGCAGTTAATGCCTGCGGTGATTTAAAAAAACGTCAGAAGACAAAAAAGGTATACATACATATTTAAATGTTTAATTTACGCTCGAAAAATACGATTAATTATGATTTCTGATATTCAAACTTCCATTCGATATTTAGTATTAGCCGATACTGATTTAATAGCTTTCAGATGAGATAATATTCGTTATAAAATCATGCAGATTATGTGGATGTTGTTTTGCTGTTTTTGGTCATGAATTTGATCGATTTGAACCCGACTCGGTCGAGTAAACGAGCAAAGTAATAAGTACACGTGATACTTGACCATCAAGCTACGGTAAGTATCACGGCTACCGTCTTTCCACCAACGACGACAATTTGACACCGCGTGTAATTTAATCCGCTCACCTGATACACTCGGCATGCTATTGCGCTACTCGTATCAACACATTTATAGTTTGAATCAGATTCCTGCATTCAACAAATGTGCGATTGGTAAAAATATATAAAACAATCGTGAGGCCAGCAGATATTGTGATACACCGTGTGCTGATACAATCAGTCGCTTGGAAGGACAATGGGGGACACGACGGGAGTTGGTAGCTGGATGTGCTCGTAAGCGATGTACACGAGATACACGCAAGATAATGTGTTATAGTTTGTTTGCGTCGTGTGAGTGACCATGGCGCCTGCTGGAATGAGCAAATAAATAACCCTAGGATGCGTTGTGTGTGCACATTATGCTCTTTCTTCGTATTCTTCGACCACCACTCGACTTCTTACATTTACTCCCTTCACCACGCCCTCTTTGTAATCTTTATATCGCTATAATGTGCATCACATGCTCCAGCAGGATGTCACAACGTGGTATAGAAATAAAATGTGATACAGTTCATTATCTTGCCATGTGCGTGAATCCCACGCATTGGCGCGTGTGTTCGTCTCATCCCCTTAAAAGATACGATATATCATACAACACGCGTATCATCTTACCGGACATTGTTAGAAGAGTTGAAGTCGATGGGGTATTAAATCAAGTTTTGTTTTTATTTCTTTGTTTTGTGGTCTTTTGTTGTTGGTATTCGTGGAAATTAAGTTGCCGGGTGCACAAAAGGCAATAAAATTGTAATAACAGTTTCAAATTAAAATAATGCGTGGTCAAGAGGTGGCCCAGGAGGATAGTTAATTTTTTGTCGGGGTCGTAAATTCGTGATTGCGTAACGAGGTGCCGTCAACCCAATTATTTTAATTGAATGTTTTTGTGATGTGGCGCATGTTTAACCTTTCCAACAATGTATTTGGATTATTCACCGTTAAATTTGGATATAATTTGTGTTTAAATTTGGTTCTCATTACTGTAGTTTGCAGAAAACGTTTTTGGGCAACATGTGAACATACTTATCGCAAACGCGATTTCAAACTCTTTATGAGCTTATTTCCTTCTTGGAACTTGCACAAGCCTGTTGCAATTTTAGTTTGCTATATTTATTTGCATTATATATAATCGTTAATTTTGGACGTGTTTTATTTGAGTTTTATTGGCGGAAATATTTGGTCTAACAGAATTTCCTGAAAGCAACTCGCAAGACACTTTGTTGTAATAACTCGATTGACGCAAAGATACACGCCACGCTGTTTACCAATCATAAATGTCACCAAGTCGTAAATGAAGTACGCGATGTCAGCGTCGAATTCCAGCGAGTTATTACTTATAAAACATAAAACATGTAAAATTTTCAACGAGCGCCAACATCAATATGAATAACGACCCAATATAACACACACTCAGCTTGGCATGCAACATGAGTTTTGATTAAATAGGAATTAACGCGTCATAATTCACAAGCGCCGTAAAGATTGTTTCTGCATTATTTTAGTAATATTTTATTCGTACTTAAACATTTGTACCTACATTTGGTGTACTATTGCCTTCTACGTATGGTTTTTTTTTGTGTAATTAATGTTGCGTTTTCTGTTTCAGGTGAGTTCGCATTACCTAATCGCGGCGAATGTAATGAGGTGATTCCGCACGCCGTGTCGTTAAACACCGCAGCAGTGCGCGCGCTTGGAGTTGCTCTAGAGTCGGGTAAGAACCGCTATAAATTAAAGGTAATTAAACGTGAAATGCGCGCGATGTTGTTCCGATGTGTGTTGCGATGGGTTTTTCGGTGCCGTTCCCTCTGCGGCAACAACGCCGGCGACGCCCCGAGACCACAAACGGCGTGCTCCGCGTCCAGGATTTAATGACATTGCACTTATTAAACGTCGCCTCGTTAACATAAACAATGCCATCGTCGTTGGAAGCACGCGGGCGTAGTGCGCTATCGAAATGGCGATAATTTGGCCGGTGATACACAGAGGGCGCCAGTAACATAACCCAAAGTACTTGGGAGGAGCGTTGGAAGCTTTTAAATGAAATTTATTGTGATGTTCTGCACTTTGTACGCGTTTCGTTTACAACTTACTGATTCGAACATCGAAAATACAGAGAGGCGCGAGAAGCATTTTATATGATGCGACATTGCCTCCCATTGTGTGTGCTTTCAATGACTTTTTCAAATTTGCATAGCGCAAAAGTCATTTTATATGATGCGGGCCTGCTGCCCCTGAAATTCCCTAAAAGTGTCTTAAAATCGCTCTGAAACTTATACTACTTGCATAATACGACCAAGACCATAGCCACGACCACACGTCTAATTATCTTGCAAGAAACCAAAACCAGTTCGAGTGCAGTCAGTTTCTCTCTCCTCCTCCTCCTCTTCTTCTGCGCCGGCAACTTCTCGATATAGAAATCACGATCAATTCCTCGCGTTCAACTTCAGTAAATTGTGTAAAGTTGGACGTTGCTGCTTTTCTTTGCCTAGCGTGAGTACAATGTGAATTGGAATGAATGACGAAAAGCAGAGTAAACGCGCAGAAGGCGGAAACGCAAAGTTTTTGGATGCGAACAGATTTTAAGATAAATATGACTTTGACTTTTCTTTTCTCTAAAAATGAACCAATAACTCACTTTTTTTGGAATGCACTCATACTCGTTGGATCGTTGGAAATAAAAGAACTGAAATACACAAGAAAAGAAAGTTGATAGAGATAAATCAGTGCATGATTTGTAGTGGGTGCGTTTTATGCGCCTGTGTTCTGCATCAGTAGATTCAAGTGGTAAACCTGAACTAGAGTCATAATTAATACAAGTTTTTTTTACGAGCTTAATGCGTTCGCATTAAAAGCGTAGGCGATACTCTTACACTGCGCTACTGTTGATATACAGAGTGTTTGTAAAATAGTTCTTATTTTTGCCTCAAACATATTGTATATAACAAGTCCGGTAGAAATTGGTATGCACATACATTGTGCAGAGTGGTGCTTCGAAGAGGTCCGTAGCCACCCTCGTGTTGTTTTCTTGTTTTTCCTTGCGCTTATTCGGTAATAGCGCAGCAACAATACGCGGTGCCTTAATGCGCGCAGCTATTGTTTGTGTCCTCGTGCATTTATGTGTGTCGCGTATATTTTATTCGAATTTGCACAGGCCGGGTCGCCGCCATGTCGCTTTTTTGCTACACATTCATTGTCTTTCGCTTTTTGTCTGCGCCACGCGGAACCGTAAGGAGCCGGAGGAGCGCATGTACGCGTGTTGTACTATTAAGGATTTACATTGTTTGCTCGACGAGATTTATTAAGGTGCACGTATAATGCGGACGCATAATTATGCACGCGGAAAGCGGGGGCAAAAAACGCGCACGATTCTATCACGACACACAGGGATGATATAAAGAATGGAAACAGTTTTCTTGTTTAGATTGTTAGTGAGTTGGGACATGAAGTACTTTGTTTTGGAGGAAAAATTGCACAGACAACTCGTCGAGTACACTTTGCGAGCATGTTTGTTACCATTATTTTCTCATCTCCGGACGAAAATAAGATGGAATGATGCACACCAAGAAAAACTTGTAGAATTTCCCGTATCTAGGTTGTGTGTGATAAGGATTTGTTTCCGGAAAGAACTAACTGTTATCGTTAAGTAGAAAACTTAGATGATGATGTTTGACGACATTGTCGCCGCAGCGAAAACTTGCGAAGCGACGATAAATCACGATAATGATTCCGAGTCTTTTGTGTGTTGGTTGTTTGCCCGCTGACCGGAGGCGAGGAATTTCCGGGATAAAAATGAAATTTTCAAGCATCAAGCGCCGAAAAAAAATATAAGGAAGCTGGCGCATAAAAGCGGATGGCAATATAACAAGTTTTGCGACATAAAAAAGCAAAAGCGTCTGTTGGATCCGGCGGCAATATTAATCACTGCCAAAAGGGCAGCGGCAGCCAACGTGGCGGCGTTTTTAAAATTGATGGCGGCTTGTAATTTTTTCAGCAGCTGTTGCGCGCCACTCAGTTTCACGCACGCGAAAACGTATTAATATAAAAGGGACAAGAGATTTGACACTTTGCGACTGTTCCGGATTAGTACAAAACAGGCGTGGATGCAATTTATCAGCGCGGGGAGAAAAGGCTTTTATTACAAGCACCTACGACCTGCGCTAAACATTCCCGTCCTTCGGCGCCTACCTACCAAACAGTCTTCTTATAATATTTTTCTCGTGTACATGCCCATTTGCCTCATAATAAATGACTCCGGGCAAACACCACGCTTCATTACTCGTTATTTTTTGTTATTGTTGAGTTTTTCGTTTGTTTCGCTCGTATTTTCAGACAGAAATCGATTAGGGCCGTTGTAGTCGTTTTGGGGTGAGGGAGGAGAAGTGTTAGACCTGCAGCGTGCGGACGGTATTATTAATTTTGGGAAAATCTTATGTGCTTACATGTGTGCTCGCCTGCACGATAGGGTGAAACGGAATATTACCCGTGGACTGATAAATGCGTTATTAATTACCGTTTTCGGCTGCCCGGTGGCGA